CACCAACCGCATAGAGTGATATTAACTACCATATTCAAATTTGCCCGAAATAACTTGTAGATTGTAACCTTTGGTTTTGCCATATTACGTACTTTGCACCAAATATCAACCATCTGGTGTTTGTTTATTATCAATGACGTTTCTTGTATTACGTTATTTTTACAACCGTGCGTAATAAAAAGGAAATATTGTCTTGTTTACTGACACTTTGTATCTCCCCGAGATAAATAATAACTACTTTCTTCAGAGAAATCGAATGTATCAAAACATTAAGAGTAGAAACCAATAATTATTGCAAAAAAACATTGTTTTGGTTGTTTCTTATCTATTGACTGGGGATTTTGTTAACGCATCCTTGAATATCATGATCCAGTTTCAAAACAGTTTGTTTTCCTTCATTTCACTTTTTTCAAGTAAGCAATTTTCGATCGCACTGTCCGTTGGTAGTGGTACAGTAGCGTTATTGCAAAAAAATAAATTGATTCTTTTTTGTTATAAATAATAATAAATTATATAACATTTTAATCATTAAACCAAGTGGGAATATCCAGGTAACCAAATAAATTCGCGCGGTTTTTTTAATGGTGAAATATAGATATTTACTAAGACAATTGTAATACTCATCGACATATTTACCCTCACAGTCAACGTGACGCCATTAAAAATTATGCCATTCTTGTGGAACCAGTGGAACTCCAGCGATTTGTGAATAAGAAAACTGTAAAGTAATGGACCAACTGTAGACTAAATAGTGTATGGTTTAACCGCTTTACAAAAAAGTATTCTGGTTGCTGTTCAGCAAACGCGCAATAAAATTTTGCTTGGATGCAATGAAGTCTTGAAAGTGTGTGCTGTACAACAACCAGTGATTGAACGCCTAAAATTTGACCACAATATCCACTTCTCGTTACCTACAGCCTAACACTTACTTAACTTGGTGAAGATCTTGGTTAATTAGTTCCGGTTTTCTAGAACGCGCATGGTCAATCACACTGGGATCTCCCGGAAAAGTTTCTGAAACCACTTTTGTGCGTTTCAGTCACTTATACATCATTTCCAAAACCTGAACATATGTTTCGCGCTACCGTTTTGGTACAAAGTTTGTAAGCCTATCCACTCTCGGATTAAACTTGTTATTTTCTATACGAATTAAAAATTACACAATATGTCATTAAATGTGTATGCACCTCATATAAGCGGGACGCATATTAATGTATAGGGTTGTTCAAGAGTAAGTACCCAGTTTGAAATAGTCGTTGTTTTGGTAATTTTTGAGATCTTGAAAAAATATAAACACATGAAATGAAATGAACTCTAATGCAAGATCTCAACGAAATAAATGTAGTTCTACCAATCACCCATCACCCTTGACCCATTATCATGATCGGTTATAACACCTCGCTTCTCCACATCGGATGAGAATATACTTACAAAGGCAAAATTAATCGTCGGGACAAGACTGAGGTCCAAACGAATATCTCGAAAACAAAGTGGTGGAAGAGGGTAGATACTCATAAATAGCGAGGGGAACGTCTGAGGAGACAGATCTGCTAGTAATATCAAAACGAAGTGTAGGGGGAGGGTACCCTCAAAGGGCGGTTAGAACGTCTAAACGAGACATATCTATTGGCGATATAAACAATGGAAAAATGCAATATTGTCGAGAATTTCTGTAAGAGCTTGATTCTTTTTGCATTCTACAGCATGAATTTGGAATATGTTTAGGTGGCCCTTACATATTTATGTGTAAGGAGCCCGCCACCCCGCCTTTAATCATCTACCGCGAAGGTAAACACGCGAGTAAACATCGATAAATATAGCACACTACTACTTTATAACCCAACTATTCACTAAGCTACTTCGGTTTTAAAAAATGCTCTTTGTCTGCATAAGAGTTAAATGAATATACCTACACTAGTTTTAATTATCACTTTTTAATACCACTCAAAACAAACAAGTGACTAAAAGTGCTTTTCTTCTTTTATCTTTTTCTTAAAAGGAGAGAGACAACGCCTTTTTTTGATGATTCAAAATTCCACAACTCGGCTCTTTTCTGCACGGGAGCGTGGAAGAAATTCTGATTTCGACGAAATAGTATCTGGGTGTTTTTCATCATACAAAAACGAATTTAAGATTTAGTTTTCAAAATGTCAAACCGCAATGTTTACAAAGAGAGAGCTATATATGTACTATATGGTACGAAATAATCGAATCGAAACACTAGCGAAATTGTAGAAAATTTAGCTACGTTACACATTCTGGCAGTCTAAAAAAAAGGGTGTTAAAAAAATCCCACGTTGACGAACGAGGGATACAAAAATCACAATAGCCTACAGTCCAATGTTGGCTTCTGATTAAAGCAATAATGATCCTAACTTCTGGTAATATCCAATTGTTTAGTTGTAATTCGGATTTGTGACTGTTCTAAATGATTTCTGTTTTGTTTTAGAGTGTCAGAATAATTTCAAGTCTTACAATAATTCTTCATTGTCGGGCCCAGAATTACAGGATTTGTTTGTACATAAAATTTCATCGAGATTCGCACCCCAGGTGTGCTATCTTGGAGTAAGAAGTTGAACGCGTAAAAAGCTATTGGCGAAGGTTTGACATCGGTGTCTCTATCCGTTCTCGGGAGGAACAGACGGACGAACAAAACCATCACATAAGAGGAATTTCTTTCGAAAAATTCCTCTAATAAGGAAGCAAAGAAGATTTTCATCATTATTTGAAATCTGGAGGTCATTTAAGGCTCTTATTTTTCTTTATTCCAGTTTGCACGTGGTTTCGGATTCGATTTCGCAATTGAGGACAAACTAAACGCGGTAAATAATAAAATAATAAAATAATGGTTTGCTAACTATTATTTATTTATGTTGGTAGGATTGGGCGTCAAAATATGACAGTGACAAACGAAGTTAGGTTATGTGTAAGTAAACTCAATGAGCAGTGATAAGCTACGTGGAGGGGGAAGGCGATGATATTAACGTTCTCATTACTCTTCAAACCTATGGTGTATCTATTTAATTTTTGTTTCGCTACTTTTGTAGCCACTGGGATTTTTAACATGGGGGGGGGGGAGGTTACTCTAATCTATGATATTGGGGAACCCGGCAAAGACTCTGACGAAAATGGCGACTGTGGTGCACCATCACTGTCATAGAGTGCTTAGAGTCCCGTCATCGTTTTTCCCAGTATAACTATGTCCCGTACAACAGCATCTGTGGAATGATTGATCACATTGATTCATTATTCATTCAAAATTTTGCCTAATATTGCTGGTATTGAATTCAATCGCCAATTTTTCCCACGCTTCAGCCTTTTATTTATTGTTAACAACACAAGAACACTACAAAACTGTTTCTTCTCTACCAAATGCTTCTTTGGTTAACCAGTTCCCAGAGTAACTATAGCGCGTCCAAACCTCCAAATTCAGTATGGGCTCTTATGGAGTATACACCTCCTTTACTATCTTTAGCGATTCCCAAATAACACTATCCTTGTCCTACAAGGCAACGTTGTCAATTGTAAATTGTAATTTCATCAGTCGTCTGTCACCTGTCACATTTATATTGCTCTTGTTTTTCTCCGTAATTTCTTAAATTCTCGTGCCGCATTTATTAAAAAATCGTTCTTTTCAGAACGCATAAATCATTTACATTTTACAAGCGTTTTTAAGGTAATGATGGGTTTTCCTATGATTTTGTCATTGAGGTTAACTTTGTAGAGTTTCCAATAATATGGAAGTACAAGGAGATGAAGCTGGGCCTGCAAATATAAAACGACCCCAGGGGCAATATTTCAGCCGTAAAGAGAAACGACTCATCGTTAATGTTCTGAATTATTTCTCCTCAACAATGAACATTAGTGCAGCAGTTAAAGAAGCAAGCAAGGCTTTATGCTGTACAGAACGCAGCATATTTTATAGCATCAAAAAGGAAGAGCAAACTGTTGGAATCTCCAGTCCCAAAAAACGTATGAAAAGAAAGTGAAGTGAAGCCTCGATACGACAAGCACAAACTTGATGTTACAGCACAAGAAAGAGGTCATGAGTTTCTTCGTTTGCGACCATATCATTGCGAATTAAATCCCATTGAAATGGTGTGGGCACAAGTAAAACACCATATTAAGATGAATAACACAACATTTAAGGTAAAGAACGTGCAAGAGTTAATCAAACTTGATTATGAAAAAGTCATGATTGAAAACTGGTAACATTATATAAACCACGTAAAGGGCATTGAAAACAACATGTGGATAGCAGATAATCTTCAAGACTATATTCAAGCTTTTGTAATTAACGTTACGGAATCTTCTTCAGATGATGATCCAGAATACGAGTCCAGTGACAACTGATGAACAGATATAATATAAATTGTATTGGCAATGTTAAATTGTGATATAAACCATTAAATTTTCGTAAAATTTTGTTTTCTTTAATCTTTATCAGAGATATGGAGTAAGCATGCATAATTTGTATTTTGAGATTGAGGTTAGGAAGTGTGGTTGTTATACCGTAAAAATCATCTACGGTAATATAAAACTACAGGCACTACACCAGTAACATATGTTTGGCAACCATGTACTGTTTTCCCATAAGCTCCATACTGAATTTGGAGGTTTGGACGCACTTTAGTGAATCACTTTCAACACTAGTGAAATTTTCAGATCCTTGCTGTTGTTTTTCCATGTTCACAAAATTCCAAAATACACCAAAATAATCACGGCGGCGATAGCGAAGATGGCGTTTGTTTAGTGGTTGACCACATACATTGTCGTTAAACGAGATAGAACAGCCAGGTTAAGTTTATGGTTATTTTTAACATTGGTTACTGATAAGCTGGCACCGAGAAACAAATAAATGGTTAAAGTTGTGGTTAAACCAAAAAATGTTTAATCTCCAACAGAAAAATCGGTCCTAAGGGCCGCTGGCACTAACAAATTTAAGCTGAAATCTGAAAATCCATGGCAACTATCATTGATGGACCTTAAGCATTCAAAATAGTGATTCAATCAACACAGCAACGATCAAAATTCTCTGTTTGTACAATGTCAAAATTCGAAGTTCAAATACTGAAGTAATTCTACTTCTGTGATGGCCGGAATTACCATTTCGGCAAACGAAAAATTTCACAAATGGAAAATGCGTTAGTTTTTCATAACTGATTTGGACTTGACTCAGACTTCCTCCTTGTAAGTAACAACGTGCTTTATTTTATTGTCAAAGTCATTTTATATTGTGTACACTTTTGTGTTTTTTTACGTTTCCAAAATTGATGAATGAAGAAGGTGAAGAATGGCGAATAATAGTTCTCATCTCCACCGTTACAGGTAAGAAATGAAATGTCATTCATTTCTAATTAATTTTCCAGTGTCCTGATTTCATTTGGCGATCTCTAAAAAATATAAAAGTGTTAACACAAATTTAGGGGTCGTTGAGTACCTAAACTGTTTTATCGATCTAGTTTCACAAATCGTATTAATAACTTCCGTCCTTTATGACATTAATTACAGAACTTCACATGCAATTTTTTAACAAAAACTACCTCCCAAGATTGAATCGTCAATTAACAACATGAAAAAGTAAATTATGAAAGAAAATGTTTGGTGCGCTAACTAAAATGAGGTAGACAAAGTAGCGACTGACATTGACGACATTCCCCGACAAACCACACAGGCAGCAATAAAATTCTCTACTATTGATTTTAGCATGATTCCTTGATAAGTAACCACCCGTACGTAGGTAATAATTACATCACGCCATAATGATTGTATCAATTTTTTAGAATCGGATAGACATCTGGAATGTAAACGAAAATCAATTTCCAACTATTAAGTCACCCTTATTTTTGTTTTAGAAACTGTTAATAATAGACCTTGAAAAAATTGGCTGTACCTCAAATTTTAGCACGTTACTTGGAAAGATGTAATTGTACAGTCAACTGGGATTATTATGTTAGTCAAAGAATTTTCGAATGAATGAAAAACTTGTGCCAAATGTATATATTTATCCATTGATGTTTTTCAACATCGCGACTACAATAAGGATATTGACTTCATAGAAATGGAGTAGTTCAAAGATATGGAAGGATCTGAATGTATCTTTTTACTTAAATTTTGGACTGTGCGAGTTTTACCTACAAGGGCAGGTTTCGTCGATCTCAAGGGGTTGGTAAGCACACAATTTTATTTTTCCTAATATTGCAAGATAATAGTTACGTAAGTAAAATGTTGTACAATCGACGCGCTACTCCCCTATCGGTATTATAAGATTTACACAGGCCCAATGATTCAGAACCTGATGGAGACGTGCATGCCTTCATTTAGAAATGTGTATTTGTTCTCAATTGATTGGGTCTAACACAGGTCAGTTTAGTTCGATTTCTTCACACATAGTTGCGCACTCGTGGTCATTAAGTTGCTATTCCTGCATTTATTTGCACCGTTAGACAAATACTTCCTTAATTTTCCTCGTCTTTTTGATTTTTTCGAACGAATTCCGTGAATTTCAGTTTTCGCCAGCCGTAACTTTTCGATTTAGATATCGCGCACAGATTGCACTACAATAATTAAAAAATCTCAGTAAATTGCTCTTGTATTTCGTAGCGGTATACTTTTTAACATCTCTTTATTCCACCTTACCATTTTTCCCTTCTTTCACCTCTTGTGGTTGTCTTTTATGGAAAAAATTAGGGGATTAACTTTCAAATTGTGAGACCTATCCCCTGATGATTGAAAACAAGTCACACTATAGCAAAAAAAATCGGAGCCGGTCATTAGGGCGCCGCCGAAAGGGCCAGACATAAGGGCTCGAGGACAAAAGGGCGCAGGACAAATGGGCGCGGGACATAAGGGCGTTGGGACATAATAAGGGCGCTAGGACATAATAAGGGCGCGAGGACATATATGGGCGTGAGATAGAGTATTTTCTAAAAAAAAAATAGATTGCGGTTAGTTTGTATTGATATTTTATATCACCAGTCACAGGGCGTTCTAGATACCAAAAACATATAATGCGCAATGCCAAAACTTTGAAGTTGGAGTTGAACGACACGGTTATGCTTTTTCCCAATCGCTCGCTTTTTTTACGATGAAATTTTGCAGATGGATTCTTTATCAAATTTTTAGAATTGGTCGTAACATAAAAAAAATAAACACTGCTCTTTTGACATTTCTGTTAATTATGCATCGAATTGCACGAATTTCAAAATATGCATAGCCAACACCATACGATAGTCATTGCCAAAATTTGGGTTTGATAGATTCAACATTCACAATGCCTTTTTGATTTCTTGGGCATTTATGAATCGATTTTAATGAAATTCCACCAGATCTATCCGATGGTGGGTAAAAATGCAAATGCAATTTGCGGGTGAACGGAGCGTCAGAACTGAGTATCGACGACAAAGGAAAGCCTTCTTTGACGAGATCTGGTTTTCTTTAAAGCATGATAATATCTCTTTAATTTTGTAACTTTTCTCTAATTTGACCATCGTCGTATCTTTTATGGTTTTGGAGATCACCATCATATGGTGCCGGCCATGTCTGTTTAGAATTTCGTACGATTCGGTTCACAACTAACGAAAATGTCAAAAGGGCCTTGCCTGCTTTTTGGTTGATATGGCCAATTCGCAAACTCCGGTCTACAAGTTTGATAAAGAATCCGTCTGCAAAAGTTCGTCGTAATTGGTTCGGCCGTTCCCTTTTAATGGTTGGACCTGAAAATCTAGCGAGTGAGCGATAGGGAAAAAGCATAACACTCTCGTTTAAACAACGCGACGCTAAAAATATAGAAGTACATTTTTTTGAGAATATTCTGTCCCGCGCCCATATATCCTCGCGCCCTTATGTTCCGCGCCCATTTGTTCCGCGCCCTTTTGTCCTCGCGCCCTTATGTCCACGCGCCCGTATGTCTCGCGCCCTTTCAGCGGCGCCGGCGCCCTAATGTCCTAGATCCCAAAAAATATTAGTAGAGAGTATCTTTTAAGATTTTTATAGCAAATGTCATTGATAGGTTAACTTTCTGGCACCGTTCTGCATGGCCATGGGCTGCTGTTTATTATTTTGCCTAACATTCTAATAAAGAAACCAAAAAACCATAAACAGATACTTTTACCGTATACTTTAGTGTATGCCTTGTATGTATTGGTATCCACAAATTTATAGCGTACCTATGCGGTTTTACCAGTTATCAATATTATAGGCTGTTTATTCATGACCACATGAAATGGTGAAACAAATCAAAGACTAAAGTAAATAAAAGAAGCATGACGCCGACTCCAGCATATAAGGGAAACCACGAAAGGCATAAATTGTTCGACCTTCAATATGAAGAGATCCTGGAATCCTGGAACACGTCAATTTTTATCTTAAATGAAACATATTTTACTGTAATTGTCACGTAAGGATCACCTTTTGCTTTTGAGATATGACGTACCTAAGTGATAATTATTATAATTAGTTATTAATGGTATAAACTTTAAAAGCAATTATCTTGAATATTTCAAAATGCAGTGTCATATTTTTTAGCGTATTTGGTCTTAATTTCATCCTCCTTCCAAATGCAGCATAAAAAAATAAGGTAAGGAGTACATTTGATATAAGAGACCGTAAGCCTAAATAATGGAGTGGTTTTTGAATTAATAAAGTTTTTCGAAATTTTTGGAAAATATACTTTTTCCCTCGCTTTTTCCTTTTATAAGTCAAATAAGGTAGACCCATTATTTTTAGGATCTATTGAAATAAGTCATAGGTCTTAACTAATAATGTAAAAAGTATAAAAACATTTATACAGATTTTTTATAAACTCCCAATTTCGCAATTTTGAAAATGTATTTTTTTAAATCTATTTATATGTATCTTGATTCTTGATACAACTGAATATGTTTTTTGACAGTTTTCTTAACTACAACCAAACTAATATTTAAAAATGTGACAATTGCAATATTTTCCTTACATTCCAGTTTCTACAAAAACTGTTGATTCATCTTGAAAACGTAGATACACATTGCCTAACGAACTTAAGCCACTGTCTGCACATAAGAAAAGACAAGCTGGTAATAGGTCTCTGGTAACCATGGACTCTCGGGAGAGAAAAGTAATTAATTTAAAAGTACATTAAATCAAGTTAGATTCGATCAAAAGGGAAAAATGGATTACTTAAAAATAATAAGAAAATAGGGCGTTATTCAAAAGGATGATGAATTGCCGACCTAGTACACGATCGAAGCCAAATCTGATATTGATATAGGAATGTATTAGAAACTACTCATATTTTTTTCAGTGTCGAATTTATTGGTTAAGAGGTTTACATGTGAACGATTAAGTTTTTGGATCTTCAAAACTACAAAATTTGACAATAATTAGAATTAAAGAACAAGTATAAATTGTGCACAACTCTTGTGCAGATAAAGCGCATTTTTAAACTGAAATCACCAATGGATACATTTCTTCCAGGCGTCCCAATCGCCCTTTGTGAGTACCCTCCTCTGACAATCCAATCTATTCTTGAGATAGATAAGGAATTATATACGATCACGATAAGGGGTCGAAGAGGAGTACTATGGTTGGTCGAAATTAATGCCTTTCGTTAAAGTACCATGAACAATAAAACTAATTTCGCCATTATGGTCCAATAGGACCTGGCTTTGTGTTTAACATGAAATTTAACCACTCGCAATTTATTAATCACAGAGCTGCAAAGTATTCAACATTTAATGTAAATTACCACATTCTCGATAATAAATATTGAAAAAAGGAACAATAACTTATGAAAAAACTAAGTAAAATTGCGAATATTGGGAGTACAAATAGCATGGTCCTTTGAAGGGGTGCAAAAACAATAATGAAAATGCAGCGTAATATTTTTAAAATTTATGATGAATTGTTTTTTTTGTACGGTTTAAAAGGAAATTATTGATTCATTTTTTGTTGTTGTTTTTTTAGTTAGTTTTCATAAGTTATTCTTCCCTTTTTCCGTATTTCTTATACAGGATATGGTAATTCACATTGAATGTTTAATAATTTGTAACTCAATTTTTAATTGATTGAGAGTGTCCATTTTTTACAGATTTATCCATAATTTTATTTTTTTCTTCCAAAATATATAAAAATATACAGGATATTCCATTAAAAAACTGGTATTGTGTTGAATAAACTGGATAATCTACATTTTTATTGGATTTAATCAATTGTAATCCACAGGAAAAATAGTTTGTCTTGGTAATTTTATCCACTTCAGCGCTCCAATAATAAGAATCTTAGCAATAGTGCCGAGTCTGGAATTGGTATCTTTCTGCACAGCAAAAGTCACTTGCCACAAAATGCCTTAAAAATGTTTTACTTTAGGTATATTTTCATTTATTTGCTAGAAATACTAACAAGAATAGGTTTTTCTCAAAAGGTATGTCATTTTCTTCTTAGCACCGATATATAATAGTTATTTATTATACAAGACGATTAAGGGATATTTTAACCATTGTCACTTTCACGAGATGGTTAGTTTCCCGGTATTGTCGGGTATAATACAAAATTGTAAAGCTCTGACAATTCTGAATTTAATTTAGACCAGACGTCAAAAATTGCAAGCTTAGGTTCTGCGGTCGCGGTCATTTTTATAGAAACGACATTGAATTATGTTCGGAAGTTCATGTTATTTTGTGCTGCGCGTCCCATTTGAAATAATAATGACGGATGTCATTAGCATGAATAATCATCTGTTTCACTTTATCTACTCTATATTAAAATATCAATTTAACATTTATGCTATAAAATAATAGTATTTTACATTATTAGCCAGGTAAGTGAGTTTTTACTGGTAGGGATGGAATCGGTCCGGTCCGGTCTTCTGAACCGGACCGAACCGGACCGTAATCTGAAATGATCCAGATCGGACCGAAGCTCGGACCGCAAAAAATCAGTGGGGACCGGACCGCAGACCGGACCGAAATCAGTCCGGTCCGGTCCGGTCCAAAGACCGGTACAGAAGAACTATCAATATGTGAAACTGATGACACTATGAACGAGTTAATCATTCTTCTTTTAATTTTCAAAAAAAGCTAAAAAATAAAGTCTAGTAAGAAATTTAAAAATTTAAAATGTTTTTTGCTTTGCTACGAAAACGAAAGGATTAATGCGAAGCTTATAAAACTTCACTAATAAATAATTTATACT